ACTCTTTACATGCCCCCGAAGCCAAACACTTCACTCTTTTTTTAAAAAAGAACCCCCAAAAAGAAAATATGCACTTTGTAAATAGTTTGCCACTCTAGTTCACCCTTACAGCTTGAATTCCTAAAATAGCTGCACCTTTCTGAATACATTTGGAGAAGCATTTTTAGACCACTTTTGATTTGGTGCCAGCCTAGTATATTGTGTGTTAAAGGCGGCCAATGTAATAAGCGTTCATACGTGTGAGTTGTTATCGCGCCAAACGATTCCTGTAGTGAAACATAACACACTCCGAGCCGATTCCTCCGACTTAGCGTTTGGATATCTTGTCTAAGGGCTAGGGTCCGAAAAATGTTGCGCAATATTTCCTCCTCCGTTGATAAAGGAAGAGAGAAACGATATCTGATGTGCGGAGCTGGTAATCCGTCAAAGCTGGTGAATTGAAAAATTCCATTAAGAAAGGCGTTGGCTTATTGTTACAAGTAAAATACAGTATACAAAATGTCATAAAAAATTCCTTTATCACGAAGTGACCTTGTTTGAATCAAGGCAGTGTTAGCATGGTTCTCTATTGCTTGATTTCAGCTTTTTTGATCGTGTTTATAAAACCATACTTATATTCAACACACTCTCTGACAAGTCAGTTAATAAATAAATGACACGTAGCAATAGTGAATCTTGGTAATAGTTGACAGCGTCAAAGACGCAGCTTGCTGTCTCGGCTCTCCAAATTATTAAATTGACGAAGAGCAAAAAGTGCAAAAATGGGCTTCGCCGGGAATTGAACCCGGGACCTCCCGCACCCTAAGCGGGAATTATACCACTAAACCACGAAACCCTTGTTGTTCAAAGCTGAGAAAATAGTTGATTTATTTTTACAGTGTTTACGTGTAATTTTTCTTCCAAAAGGCTACAATGTTTGAATTTGCCTCTTGCAAAATAACAGTAACCATTTTTTGTATTCTCAAATTTATGTTTAGGCCATTTTGATCCATTTTAAATTACATCAAGCACCTCTCATACACTTTTTATAACATTATCGCATGAAGTAGAATCATCAGTTATATGGCACGGTCGGGTATACAACCGTTGTTGCTTTAAAACAAGCCTTCATATTATCTTGACGGCGCTTGCATTATAATTATACCTCTTTATAGTCACTTTCTAGTTATTTACCGTTTACGGTTACAAAAGGAATATAATTCTGGACTGACAAGTATTTTGTCTGGAAGTGTCAAACTCTCAAGAAAAGCATAATCTTTTTTTTTTGTCTGCAATCGTAACTGACCAACTCTCCATCTTTAACGAGCACTCCTTCTTTTATAACTTCTTCACCTTATCTTTGCCTGTTGGTCAATTACATGCAAGGATTAAACCGGGTTATTCCCCAGTAATTCCTTCACGTGCTGTGGCGTAGATTTAATACACCAGGTATGTTTGCTGGCAGCGTCGTTACATCATCTACATTACATTGATCTGCGTAGATGCCAACATTACTGCACTTTTTCCCTCAATCATAGACGTACGCAAACTTTTTACTGCGTACTAGGATAGGTCCATCCTTGTGCTGTCAAATTTTCATGGGGTCCCATTTCGAGTGAGTGCCCCAAATTGCAGAAAAAAAAATTGGAAGCGAAATTTCCAATGATCAATGTTGTGGCTCTTGAACCTAACTATTAACTTCTGTCTCCCTGGCAGCATCTCTAGCAAGCGTGATATCTTGGAGCTCATGTTGTTGGAAAATAGCCCATTCCTCTTGGTGATCCAGGCTCCAAATCTACTAAGCAACTATAAGCCTATCATGGGATGATTTTACTGGTGAAGTCATTTATCTGCTTGCTTATTATCTTACTACAGCCACCATTCTACGACGTGGAGACCCATAAAACACATAGAGGAGATGTTCTCAAATTATGACTAGTGTGACTGAACAGTAAAAGAAATCGGCCTATGCATTACAGTTTCCAACCACCTGCCACCTTTGTATATACTCTAGTTGTATGTCATCTATAATGGTCAACATATTCGCATATTCATCCCGCTTACCTCGGATACCTCTGAAGACCCTTCATGATAATTTTCAAGTCTAAACCTGGCACAATGTTCCTACTTTAAATCTGTTGCAACAAGCTGACCGCCCCTTCTAGCATGCAAGTACGAATATTCGACCGCTAACAGATACCCACATTGAGTCAAAACCATCAGAAGAGATATTCAACCTTAATCAAAGAAAACAAGGGCAGTTATCATTGGGGCGGTCGGAAAATTTGCAGAAAATTCATCAACGGGGACAATCAATATATTGTTCTAGGAAGAAGCTGTGATTATGCTAGTCTTTATCGTGAGGTATGCACACATGAGTTCCCCACGCCAGTCTAAATACTTTGAAGAATTCATTTCAACAGTTGAACGTTGTTTAGACCATTTATATGAGATTCAAAGACGAAAAAAGAAGTATTGTCGAAGCCTTATCTTTGGAGTTATAAACAACAGTGATCAGATCAAACTCAGTCGGGCCAACTTCAACAAAAGCTACTGACGAAGATTGGTGTTGTAGGTTGTGAAATCAAACCTGTGAACATTAATGTGATCAATACAACTGGTTCATCAATAGAGGTAAGAATTGTTTCGATTGTGGAAAAGTGCATGCTACCCGACCGGATGCAAACACTTTTAACTTCAAGTTACTTCTAGTCATCTGGAAAGCCGTTCAATTCCTACAACTAGAGATCCCAATTCTGCGATAATGCTGCTACGATAGTATAATGACAGGTTCTACTAACAGGTATGGAAACACTACCTCTCCACGACTACTGGAACCAGCATGTAGCGCTTGACACCTTTGCCTTGAAGCAATGCCCAACTGTCTATATGCCGGTGAGTGCAATCAGCTGTGGAAAATCTAGACCGCAACGTAACGTAAGCGTAGTCCAGGACCTACAGGTACTTTACATGCTGACCCGGCAGGAGCGGACTCGCCCGTTTCCATAGCGACGATGAAAATAAAGCCAGTAATATGCATCATCAATTCATTTGTCTGTTCACAAAAAGGAAGCTAAAAACACTGCGTGTCATGGTGATGGATATTCAAAAGAATGTGATAGTGCTGGAAGAGATTTTCACAGGAGATATGCCTTTATTATACTGGATAATGTGGTGACATATACGATTCGCAGTAAGTACTTGGTAGAGCCAAACCAGTGAAAACCAAAGCCGCTAGATACTCTTCATCAAGATGAAGCTGCAAATGGGAAGAATATCTATGCCGTGCTGGAAGTGCTAATACAGTAAGACGAACTATGCTAGTTTATGCCTAAGCTCAAATATTTATTTTTTCTGGCACTAAATGTGTGCAATGAAGTACGTAATGGACCTAAGCCATGTTGGATTTCCACAAACTGGTCATACCTGCCAGGAAATATTTGTAACTTTGCTACTAGCACATACATACAAGCTAAAAATAAATACCTTGGTTAGCATCAACTCATTGCCTTACAAAAAATCCAGCTACTTGTATCGAATAGATGCCACAAAATAAAAATCTTGCACATGCATAATGCTTTCATGCGAAATCGCCTGCCAAAATAAGCTTTATGCTTAATATAAAGTATGTCTGTTGAACTATGATTTGATGCACAGACATTTCTTTTCACATTAAGAACCTTTACCAAATGTTACTTCTAAAAATTTTAAAATTAAGAAAAGCCCATTCTTCGCCTTCTCCAATACTAAAGAAATGATTAGCCCGAAGTACCGTATTTCTTTTTTTATAATAAAGATTACATAACAATTCTCTAGATTTCCAACGCACTATTCACCAAATGCTTTCCCTATATTCAACAAATAACAGTCAAGCACATACCTTTTCATGATCTTTTTTAAAAAATGATCAGATGTTATATTAAATACAACTTTGTTCCATTTATAACCATACTTTGAGATATTGTGCGAGATAGCGCTACTAGACTTACGTAAGTATATGTAGTATTCAAAAACTAGTTGTCAGTGCATTCGTTCCGTGTGACTTCTGAGACGAAATTGTATAAAAAGCATCTTTCTGCTGTGAATTTTTACCATAAATTTTTATAAAAATAGAATGTAGACATATAGGTTTCATTACCGTGCTATTAAAAATATACTATGTGATAATCATGATTTCCAAAAGTCATGATATTTATACATACTAAAAAGAAGAGAAAATGAAAGGTTAAAGCAGAATCGAAAGACAGATTCACAGCTATTTTACAACATTCTTCAAGCTATATAGAAAAGTACCTGCCAGCAAAAATATTACAGCATGAACCGTGTTAATAAATATAAATCCCTTCAAAATTTATAACGTCTGCATGCTGAAAAATATTTCAGCATTGAGCCCAAATCACTATCACTAACATATTAAATCAAGGCTGATCCAGTATAATAAGCTATGTTTGCCTATACATAATCACACCTCCTTGACGAAAAACTCTTATAATGCTACTATACATAGCTATACTTGATAATTGCTACTTAATAGACAATTTGAGTCATGGAGAGGATGCAGTGATCTTGAACATTCAAAAGAATGGGAAGTAAATGCAGTCTCTTAATCTATACTCTATAAAAACTAAAAGTTGCAGGTTTTCTGTCGCTGGCGTAAGGACAGAAGAGCCAGTAGCTTTACCGATATATGTCGAAGAAGATATGCCAGCATTTTATAGATGTAGTAAGACATTGGGTGGTGTAGACAAGTGGAGGTTTACACCAACAGTGCCGAAGACCCGCAGGTCGAATAGACTCAGGGCATTAGCGGCAGGACAGTCGGACGAAGTCCGACAGCCACAGACGCAATCAACGAAAGTGCTAGAAGATTCCCAAAGGTAGACGTCTAGAAAGTTATGAGGTCAACCAGAGTTTGAAAAGTATATATTTGTAGTTATTACAGATAATAAACATCATCAATCAATTAGAATCAACTAGTGTACATAAAGGTTTACCATTTGTCGAACGACATTTCATCAGTTGCCATGATAGTATAGTGGTCATTATCTCTCGTTGTGGCCGAGAAGACCCTGGTTCGATTCCAGGTCATGGCACATTGTCATTTCTTTTGAACTTCTTGAGAAGAATTTGAACGCCGATGTTTCGCCTCTTGAATTCAGATATCTTCTTTGCTTTTCTTTACCAAAAAGGACCATGTTGCCGTAGCAAGGCTCTATATAGCACTGCGTCTGTAAGTATCAATGCCATTAAAAGGAAAGACATATACTTCTGCTGTTAAAGTAGACTTTTGAACCGGCGAATGAATCATGATATGTCCGCCAAGTCATCTTACAGCGAAGAGAAAGCAAAAACCGTGATGTTAGTCAAGAAAAGATATCTGTCTGCTCAGGTCAGAGATATCCACAGCTTATTAAATCAAAAACAGTACTTCCGTACTGAATGAATTTAAATATCTCTAGATTTCACTCTTTTGCGCTACACGGTATTCGAACATGTGTCTACTTTTAAAAGATGCCAGCTTGAAGGTGCACAATTTCATTGTCATAAACGATACGGATACATCAAATTGGGTCTGATTCATGCAGTGGTGCCTATAATCACAAGAACAATACACCTTCCATCTATATTGTACCAAGGATTCAAGGTTTATGGCCCTTGCCTCCAGTCGTACATAAATAGCGCCTGTAGGGTCACGAGGTCAAAGCAACACAGCTAATTTTCGGAGCTAAAGCCGCCAGCTTTTGGACTTGAATTCTAGCTCTTACGATACAATCCCTATAGTGTACCTGTAACCTCATCGTTCATACCCTTGGTTCAGCTTAACTGAAACGACCTCAAGAATTTGCTCTGGGAAATTAAGCACTTTTGACACAATGAATGAAGGCGGGGATTCTGCACATGACTTGGCTCAAGTCCGAAAGCTTATAGATGGCATGAACGCACTGGTGAAAAGCCACAGCAAGCTTCAGCAGCAAAAGCAAAGTAGCACACAAGGTACATGAAAAGAAGAGTTGTCTCAAGCTTTCTATATTCAAACCTTTTGGATCCATTAGATAGCTCAACTCAGCCAGATGCTGCAAACTCAGAAACATCTAAAACGAGCAATAGTCACGATCAAGAAGTTTCATCGTATGTGTTCAACGGGAGATAAAGACCGGGTTTCCAGAGAGGCTCTCAACTTGAACCTATCAGAATTAAGGACTGACGATTTTATTAACTATCAGGGACAAAACGATTGATCCTTTGCCTGGAAATACTATTATCATCGAAGTCGCTCACAATATCTTGGACCGTACACTTTACTTTTCTCTAATGCGCAAGTATCTTTTATTTTTCTGTGATATTTCCACATCTGTTTAAGGACTAAAACTCGATGCTAACAAACCATATACCATTGTAGCGGAAGCGACGATAGAGCCTCTTATAAGTTGGCTGAGAGTCTCATTTGCAGATCCTTCGATATCCGGCATGGTTTTGCAATACAAGGGATTTGACGGCTTGTGGAAGTGTTTATTAAACAGTGAGTAATCCCTATGATGGCATATGACCGATGTTGTATTGACAGATTTGCTGATTTTCTGACTCTAGGGGATGATTCCTTGAAGCGTATACTGAAGCAAGCTCTGAAAGCTGGCTCTATGATGCAAATGAGGGTTCCACGAGCGCAAGATTTATTGAGTGTAAGTAAGAAAGGGAAGCCATCCATGGTTGAAAGTGACGAGGAGTAAGATCCAGGTCGGTTGGGAACAAGGACAGGATGAGTTAACACTACTCTTGCAATAGTCCGGCTATTCCGATAAGCGGTTACTGGACTTGACGAAAGGATAGCATATATGTGTTGGAAAGCTGGTTTTTCGATTGCATGCGAATACGACTGTATATCTTATGATCCGTAGTGGACTAGTTGAATGTAGATACTATGGGAAAATACCCATTATATTACCATAGCTATATGGATAAAATAACTTGACAAATAGTGTGGCAGAAAAATGTGGCAACAAACGTGCCCAAAGATATTATCTATAGAATAGGGTGGGGGATGGTTGGGCTGTCTATAATTCTACTGTGGTTCTGATGGGTCGGGCTGGCGACACAAATTGCAGATCTCACATTTTTGCGAGCCTTTTCTTTCCCACGATATGTCTCTGAATATAATTGTTGACAAACACGCCATTTGGATCCAATTTCTCTCGGACGGTAAGAAAGTCAGAGAACTTTGGATAGGATCTTTCAAGGTCAGACTTTGTTTGTCCGTGGGCCTATCAAAGATGAGGATAAGGATGAGTGAGCCACGTTTGAATGCCAGTAAACTGTACATATGCTTTGCATGCAGTCATTCCTACTCACCTTGGCCCAATGTGGCCGGCCATCCAAGGACCTCATAACATCTTCATATGCACGCCAGTACTTTTTGTAGGGAACTGCCTTTCCGTAGGGTCTATGCGCGGTGTAAAAGAATATAGTTAAGTACACAATCACAGATTTCCATTATAACACCGTTTGTAGCCTACCTATACATAATCACTCCAATGTAACATGTTTTGCGTCCATATGAAGGGCTCAACCAAACATCATCGGCATCCACAAATCGGATTTCGACGGGAAAGTGAACTTTGAGGTCCGACGACTGTATAAATTTTTCAATTCTCTTCAGTGCTTCAGGAGCCTTCTCTAGAGGGATGGCCCATTCGTTGACGTATTGAGGGAATAGACAATCAAAGTTAAACACCTTGTAGCTTTCATCTACAACGCGAGTTGGTGTTGAGTGAACTTTATCGTAAAAAAATCTTGTGAGAGGTGGTATCATGGACTGGCGGTATCGCGCAATATTGAGAGCAAATTGGTAAACATGGAATCCAACAAAAGTGTATTTGAACCAACTGGGCTTGTCTTCGGTAACCGGCTTGGTAGTCCGGTTGGCACGCCAAACGACGCAGTCATCGGTATGGGGATACCACCACACTCGAACATGTTCTGCAGAATTGATAACAGTGTCCCAGTTTTGTAACACATGGTCAAACTTGGCGGGTTCTTGTATAGCCTCCAATAAAAAGTCGGGTTCTACTTTCAAAGACATTCTTGTGATGACTCCCAAACAACCCAAGCTGCACCTAGCTGCTTCAAAGACATCTGCGTTGGAAGAAGGTGAGCAGTACAAAATGTCTCCGGTTCCATTGACGATAGTGAGGTCTGTAATCTGAATGAAGACTTTAGTATGCTAGTCAATTGCTGATTGCAAATATTTCGCTATAGCTTACCATAGTAGGAAGACTTCCAAAAGTTGTACCCGTTCCGTGAGACGCTGTAGCCATAATGCCTGCCACGGATTGATCAGAAATTGAGCCCAGATTACTGAGAGCCATGCCATTGTTCTTCAACACTTGATGCAAAGTATGCAAGTCCATGCCGGCTTCAACGGTGATAATGCCTTCCTCACGGTTGACAGCGAGGACTCGATTGAGCTTGTGTATGCTGATCATGTAATCATTGGTGAGGGCAAGGTCAGAAGGAGAATGACCGGAACCAACGACTTTGATATGTTTTTTGTTTTGCACGGCGAGTCGTACAATCTATAAGACACCGAAGAAAAGAATTAACATGGCATGTCCTTTGGAAATGTGCAGTGCTGATCCCGGATGTTCAGTATGAATTCCACCCAAGATTACCTCTGAAACCTCTTCTTCGGTTGAAGGCTCGAAATATAATTCTGGGCTGCAGCCAAAAGTATTAGCCCAGTTTCTAAACTGATGGTTTTCTTTCGCGATGGTCTTCAATTCCGGTGCCAAGTTTTCCATTGCGATCGTTGCGGAACCTCAAGGCTAAGAGGAATAGAGTTTTTTTTTGTCATCTATCAGATTTTTTTTTTTATATCAATGTTTTACTGGTTGCCATTTTTATCCTTCGGAGATTCTCAATCATCGACTGAATAGCATAAGGTCCGATGAATCCGTCACTTGAACTGCGGTAAAGATCGAGGATGTATTAATTAAGGCACACCTTTGAAACTTTCATCGATCGTTGATCTGTTATGCATTGCTTTTGTTTGGTAAAATGTCATAAATTAAGTGTCATTGGTTACCCAGCCATCGGATAAATAATGACACCGGTTTGGCGCCGCTATGACAAGTGAGGGTGATCATCGTTTTTTATTTGTTCTGCTTATAATCTTTACCTCAAGCACAATTGGTCTAAACGTTGCAATGTGTTTAAACTCTTGTATGAATATCTGATCATCTCTTACTGCCATTACCTTTAATGATTGCCTGAAATACAACGAGTTCAATATACTTACATCATTTTTCACATTCCTTGCCGCTATGAGAGCTGCTGCAATGTTTACCTTCGTAAACCTTCCTAAGTTTGGGCATGAAGCATGAAAGTATCAGTGACAAAACGACATTACTGAAAAATATGGGCATATTACTATATAACGTTTAGTGGAGAAGTAAGCCCTTTCCAGTACTTTACTGATAACAACGCAAGCTGTTGCTTCATTTTGACCGAAACAGCAAGCTTACCATAGCTCCATATCGCACCTACTTGAGTGAGGAAATTATTGGCGCACATGCAGTAACTCAAGCTACCACTCTCGAGATTTTTTTTTCTCGGCCATTATAAAGTATTTGAATCAAACTCTTTGCGTCAAACCACTGATAACAGCAAGTTACAGTATTTGCCTTGCATACCAAGAAATACTTGGTTACTTCGGACATATCGATGATGCTAATCTTCAAACGCTGGCCCTTTTATCCTCATATTTTCAGTAGCCGATATTCCTAGATAGTATTCTGAACGGCTCCGTTAGTTAGGCAATGGTTCTCGCAGTTTTTGTGAAAGACCTCTTGAAACATGCAAGCAAACGTAAATATTCTCAAGTTGACACACAGGATCACGCTTTATGAATCTATACAGCTTTCAGGGGTTTGAGTTCTTAGTTGTATGTGTAATCCAAAATAAATAAGAACCGGTTAGTCACGGTCTAAGTTTGATCCACAAAATACAGCACAATGGTGTTTACACCCCGCCACGCTTTTCTCATTAGTATGGATGCTTCTGCTGCTAAGCCGATTGCTTTGGAATTTAGCAATCAGTT